TACTCTATATAAATATCCTCTACTCACCGTCTATCCTTCCCTCTTATCCTACTCTCTTACCCTATCCTCCTACCCTCGTTCATCTCCATCTCGTATCCCTCTCTTATCCTACCCCTATCCTCATCTCTTACCCTACTCTTATCCTACCCCTATCCGCATCTCTTACTCTACTCTTATCCTACCCCTATCCTCACCTCCTACCCTACTCTTATCCTGTCCCTATCCTCATCTCTTACCCTACTCTTATCCTAACCCTATATTTATCTCTTACCCTACTATTATCCTACTCCTATCTTACTCCTCTACTCCGTATTTACCCTCTGCTCACTCTCATTCTACTCTCTATATTTACTTCATTATTACTTTATACTTACTCTGTATTTATTCTTCTCTTATTCTACTACTATCCTCATCTCTCATTCTCCCCTCCTGCTCTCATATCCTACTCCTATTTTACTCTTTTACCTTCATCTCCTATCCTACTTCTATCCTCATCTCTCATCCTCCTCTCCTACTCTCATATCCTACTCCTATTCTACTCCTATTCTATTCTTTTACCCTCATCTCCTATCCTACTATTCTCTTACATCTCTCTACCCTTACTCTATATTTACTCTCTGTACCTACTTCTCTCCTTCTATCCTCATCTCGTAGACTACTCTCTTATCCCTACCTCTTATCCCACTCTTACTTCTCTTATCTTCATCCCATATCCTACTCCTATCCTACTCTTATCTTCATCCCTTATCCTATTCTTATCCTACTCCTATTCTCACCTCTTATCCTATTCTTATTCTACTCCTACTCTTATTCTACTCCTACTCTTATTCTACTCCTCTCCTCTCCTATTCCACTCATCTCCTCTTCTACCCTTCTCCTTCTTATTCTCCTCGCGTTTGTCTTTCGAATGATATATTGTACTACATGTTTTGACCAGCTCATGTTTGGTATATACTTTTCCATATTCTGAAAAGTATCAATGTATATACATATATACATATATACACATATATATGTATATACATATATACATATATACATATATACATATATACATATCTTTTGGAATAATTATACCTGTATATATTCGTGTTTATATATATCTATTTATGTATCTATTTATATATCTATTTATCCACTTACTTATATATCTGCTTATATATCTACTTATATATCTACATACTCATATGTATCTTTACAAATATTGCTTAGTTCATCCATATCTATATACTAATCAATCTATCCGCTGTAATATACCTTCAAACGTTATTCAATCTCGTTAACCTATATATTCATTCACTTTGATCCACTTTCTTCTCTTGGTTGAATAGCCGAACCAAATGTTTGCATATAACCTCACTATGTGGCTCTCTATATGACTTACTATATAGCTTACTATGTAGCTTACTATGTAGCTCACTATGCGGCTTATTATGCGGCTCATTATGCGGCTTGCTATGTGGCTCATTATGCGGCTCATATGCGGCTTGCTATGTGGCTCATTATGTGGCTCATTATGTGGCTTGCTATGTGGCTTGCTATGTAGCTTACTATGAGAACATTACATCCAGTGTATCTCCACCAATATCGCTTCGTTCACTCATATCGCTACCTCGCTCAATTATCTCTACTCTAATACCTCGTATCCATTTCATCTGATCTTGTTTTCTCAAATATTCATTCACTTTGATACGCCTTGTGCCCTGGGTTAAACTGCTGAGGTAAGTGCCTGCATATAAGCCCACTATGTAGCTTACTATGCAGCTTACTATGCAATCTACTATGTAGCTCACTATGTAACTCACTATGCAGCTCACTATGTAACTTACTACGCAGCTTACTATAAAGTTTACTATGTGAATATTACACCTAGTGTATCTCCACCAATATCGCTTCGTTCATCTATATTTCTACATCATACAATTTATTTACTCTAATATACCTTCTTCGCTATATTTATTCATGTTAGCTTATATATTCATTCGGCTTGATTGACCTTCTGCCCTGGGTTAAACTGCTGAGGTAAGTGCCTGCATATAACCTCACTATCTAACTTACTATGTATCTCACTATGCAGCTCACTATGTGGAATACTATGCAGTTTACTATGTGAATATTACACCTAGTGTACCTCCACTAATATTGCTTCGTTCATCTATATTTATATACCAATCAACATATCTACTGTAATACATCTTCTTCGCTATATTTATTCTTGTCAACTTATATATTCATTCAGTTTGATACACCTTCTGCCCTGGGTTAAACTGTTGGGGTAAGTGCCTGCATATAGTCTCTACCACTCACTATATAATTTACTCCCTAGCCTACTCTGGGACTACTACAGTCAACGTAACCCCACCAATGTTTTTCCATCCAAGCTACATGTCTTGTATCTATGTGGCTTACTATGGCAACCTCTGACATCACAGGATGACCCTGGATTTTCGCCACTCACCGCATAGGAATGCAAGCTTATTCGGTATGTTTGGATACGTTCAAGTGGCGGGAAACGCACAACAAATAAACCCCTCTCACGGATTGGCATGAACCCTAACAGATCCCACTGTCTACATTGAACGCATAGCGCCAATTCCTCCTCCTGAAAGCGTCTAGATCATTACCTCAGCATACCCAGAGTAACGCCACGCGTTAATAGCTCAGAATACGTTCCTTCACCACCCAAGACCCTATAAACGTCGAGGTACCTACACCCCACAACAGAAGCAACACATCAATTCCTCACCATGGATATGCGCAAAATCCCCTTATTCTGTGACGCCCTTCCGTCGGAAGTTGTGGAAAAGATTGTTTTCCACTTGCCGCTTTCCACAGTCGCCGAATTGATGAAATCGGAGAACGCGAGTCTCGCTTTGGTGGCTCGGAGATGCTACTACTCGAATATTAAATTGCAATTCGACTACCCTCCAGATTATGAACGCTCGCATATTAGTGATAAGTTCCTCAGCATGAATGTTTCTGACTTTGAAGCATTAGTAAACAGTGATACGTTCAGCCAGCTTCACATCAAGAAGCTCTTAATAAATGTGTACGCACATATCGAAAATTTTACATTTCTCCACGAAAAAGTGTTCGCCAAAGTGTCTTTAGTTGTTACCAATGTCATTCTAGAGTTTTATGCAGATCATGAATACCATACGGTATTCAGTTGGGACTGGTTGCCGTCTTCGCCACCGGTTCAGGAGTGCATCCGAGAAATATCCATTTTGTATTCTTATATTGATTCGGATATGCCACCCTTGCCCCCCAATTTGTGCAAGTTTAACCTTCTGTACGGCCGCCAAAATTATTGTGACGATAATGCTAGCGCTCCAAAGATTGTTTTTCCACCGTCTCTCCAAAAATTTGTTTCGGAAATTCCGTGGCGATCGATATCAGCGTATGCTAAACTCCCTTCAACCTTTTAGAGATTGGAGCTAGTAGAAGTCAAAGGCTTTTCTGCCGAAGCCTTCAATGAGTTAAACTTATCCGATCTAAAATCTTTACGATTGGGATACATTTCCCTTAAAAACTTCGGTGAGTTAAGATTACATGGCTTGAAAGATTTGCGTTTGGAAAACGTGTCAGACATGACGGAGATTGACGAGCACTTTAAATTTCCCTCATTGTTGGAGAATTTGGAAGTTGAACAGCTGGGCATTACTAACTTCGAACAACGGAGCTTACCTCTGGGGTTGCAGAAGTTGTTCATTGTCGGTTGTCCTTTAAAGAGATTTAGTGTGGATACGTTTCCAGACTCTTTCAAAGAGTTGATCTTAGACGGCACGGATCTTTCATCATCTGAGATTCGCATTATCAAGTTTCCTCCGAGCTTGGTTTCCTTACTGGTTAATAACACCCTGTTATCATCGCTAGATTTTGTCAGCTCACTACCTGGATCTTTAGAAATCCTCAACCTCACTGAAAACTCCTTTGGTCGTTTAAATGAAACAGATGAAGAAGCAGACACTACCAGATCATGCCAAATTAAGTTCCCCAAGAATCTCCAAGAGTTTGGTATCAGATGTAGTGAGCTGTTGTTTACCCTATATTCACCAGAAAACTTTGTCTTCCCTCCAAGTTTGGTGGATTTGGACCTCGCAGGTACGAATTTGGTATCAATTAAAGGACTCGAACTCCCTCCAACATTGAACTCTTTAAGCTTGAGAAACAATAATTTAGTCTCAGTCGATGGGCTCAGTCTTCCACTAGCCTTGACCTCCTTATACTTGAGCTTCAGTAAGTTGGTGTCAGTCGACGGGCTCAGTCTTCCACCAACCTTGACCATCTTTCACTTATGTGACAATAACCTTGAACTTCTTTCAAGGAGACTACCGGACAGCATCCAATCATTGTATCTTATGAGAAATAAGCTTAGTGAATTGGAAAACTTCCACCTTCTGGTGAGTTGTACTAAGTTTGAGCTCTTCAGTAACCCACTTCAAAAGCTCCAAATCTCCAATGCATATGATCCAGATTTAAAACTCCGGGAGTTTGAGTTAAGTAACGTTATCATCGCCACGCTTCGTGACATCTCTCCCCTTCCTCAATGTCTCACTTCCTTGAATATTTCCAGTACAGAAATAAACTCCTTGTATGGTATTCTGCTTCCTGTGGGGCTAATCAGTTTGTGTGTATACCTTACCAAGATAACTTCATTGGAAAATGTTGAATTCCCACCATATTTGGAAAGGTTGGATCTCCTGAGAAATCAAATATCCAACTTGATCAATGTGCACCTTCCAGATAGTTTACTTGGATTGAACCTTGATGATAATAAGTTTAACTCAATCGATACAATACAGTTTCCTCCAAAATTGAAAGAATTAAGGTTTGAGAGGAACGCGATTGGCGCCATCAACGAGTTGCAGTTGCCTGAATCCCTTAAAATGTTGTCTTTGGAGGATCAAACGTGTGAGACCCTGCAGAATAATGCCTCCACACAAAGAGACATTTCAGAAAATATCTTTTTATCCAAGGAAAACGGCTTATCGAGACTTACTGGACTAACCAAACTTCCTCCAAAGTTGGAGTATTTAAATTTAGGGGAAAACAGCTTGTCTGATCAGACCATTCAAAGCTTAGAATCCCCCGCCAGCTTGAAAATATTATTAATTGAAAGAATCACGTTCGACGACAATGCTGAGTGGCAGAGAGAATTCAAATTGGCTCACCCTAGGATGTCGATTTACTGGTAAATTGGAGTTCTCTCTGGACAATTCCCTTCTCTTGGACACTGACCATAACGAAATGGGTATCTATAATGAGAAATTCGCGTAAGGAGAAACAATTGTAGAATGTGACGTTTAATAAAAAGTCATCTACGACAATCTATGTATTTATATTGAAATTCTTTTGTTCTGAGTGTATCCGCTTTACAATCTAATACGGTAAACAGTACTTATAAATTGACTTCTTTAAACCTAAGTCAACATGAGACCATACCATAATCTTATACTCCATTAGATCATCAAAGTATTGATAGAGATAGCACCGCTCTTCGTAAGATTAGCTTTGTCTGCTCTCTTTACTTGCGTATATGGCATATTGCTCAACCCGTCATACTGTATACTCCTTATTTTCTGTGATACCTCATCCACCTTAGGTACCCCTTTAATTTCCATCACAACAGGTGATAGAATTCTCCCATAGCCTCACCCGCATCTTCACTACCTAGGCAACTCCTTCTCGGTAAATCCCTGTATCTCCTTAGTCTGCAGATTACTCAGTCTAAGATTCAACTTTACAGAAACCATACTCGCACAGCTTTGCAACAGCAGGAGCATAGATGATCGAAGTGTTAAATCCTTTAAGTCCAGGGGCCAGGCTACTTAAATATCGCATCCTGTTTCTATTTTAAAATTCCTGCATGTATCATATAGCCCAGTATCTTATACCAAGCCTCATGCCCATACGCCTCATATTGGAACAGAAATTGCTTGTTTTACCTTTTAACGTACCTCCGTTCCCATAGCTTAACCACCCCTATATTAGAGATTCAAGTGATTGTCAACTCAATTATCACATCGCATGAATGTTCAATTATTTGAATGGCCATAGATTTATCTGAATATAAAAACCTCAGTGTTGATCTATGAATAGGTTAAAGGATGTCTATGGTGATGTCTGCGGGATTAAATGGCTTCTTTAAAACACTTGGCATGCATAATTGGACATGAAATATTTAGTTTTTGCAGTACGAACTCCTACACCAGTAGCTTTTAGTTCAAGAAAAATATATTACAAGCTGAGCAATATGCAATAGACATGAACGTAATGCCTATCCCCTCTAGCTGGAGCATATTGATGAACCAAGCCTCTCCAAACCCCTCCATACACTTATGTTATAGGGATAGACTCTGGGTCGAAAAAGAATTTTCTCCGCTGAAAAAGGTCAAACTTTTCCTCCTTACGGCTGCCAATTATAGATGAGTGCATTTTTGTGGAGATCGACGGGAGAACTAACCCATAAATAGTTCTTTAGCGCCTACTACATGTATATGCAGGTCTTCCAAGCCCAAACTATACGATCGATGCCAAGACATATCAAACAGGAGGATATCTCACATCTATAAAGGAGAAAACTACATCGATTCGCGGAACTATTGTAGGATTACGGGTGATCAATGATATACAGCTTCTTCTCTGTTATGAAAACACCGTACCGGAGATATCGTCTGGTTACATATAGGACGTACTATTTCCAAAAAGGGACTCATATCTCTGCTTGTATACCAACCCCAACTCCACAGGAAATACACCAGTAAGGAACATATGTCACTAGAGTAGTTCCTTTTACTGGCGAAGAAAATACGACTTAGAGCGTTATACCTGGGTAAAGATCAGTTTAGTAGGAGAAAAAGCCAACTACAAGGATTCTTTCGTATACATGTAGCCTATAATGCAGGTAAAGAGCTAAGCTCTTCCTTCGTGTATAAGGCTCTTAAGAGGTTAGCTTATACCATGCAGTAAATAATTAAAAGGACTACTTTATGCATTATGCGTCGCACATGTCCATCCTCTTACATAGACCCTTGCCTTTATCTAGAGTGGTGCCATATGTGCGTTAAAGGAGTCTCTATGTAGACCACATATCACAGACGTACTTTGGCTTTCATGTACTTTTTAGCAGACACAGTTATTTAGTCAAAGTGCATGGGTATGCATGCAGTCCCTGCAAGTTTGCTGATCGTTTCTGCTGGTTAAAGGTAGACCCAAAATGGTACTACCCTGAATTGTTGTTGTTTTCTCCAATAATAGTTGAAAAAACAAGCTGGAGAGACCTCCAGATCATAGCCTTTAGTAGTCAGGATAGAAAACCGAGCAAATCTTTAAGAAAATGAAGGAATACTGTCACGTGAACATCAGACATGATCTTAGGAGAGCTCAGAGCGCCTTACTAACCGCATTTGAAGTCTTAGAGATAATTATGGTTTAATGAAGTATTTGTGGGAATGACCTCAAGCTAGTGAAGGGGTGATTTCATTAGCTCACACGGCCCAGGATGAGGGGATGATACTACGTGCTCACATGGTTTAGAATTCCAACGTATAACCTCTGGGCAGATTGTTTTAACAGACACAGTTATTTAGTCAAAGTGCATGGGTATGCATGCAGTCCCTGCAAACTTGCTGATCGTTTCTGCTGGTTAAAGGTAGACCCAAAATGGTACTACCCTGAATCGTTGTTGTTTCCCCAAGCACTTGTTGAAAAAATAAGTTGGAGAGGCCTCCAGATCAAAGCCTTTAGTAGTTAAGATAGAAAACTGGACCTATCTCTAAAAAAGAAAGAACAATAGTGTCACGAGAACACCGGACAATATCCGAGGAAAGCTTAGAGCGCCCCACCAATTGCACTTGAAGTCTCAGAGATAAATGTTTGAGGATGTATTTGTAGGAATGACCTCAGGCAAGTAAGAGGGTGATTCCATGAGCTCACACGGCTCAAGATGAAGAGGTGATACCACGAGTTCATGCGTTTTAGAATGCTAAAAACGTATGCTCACTGGGCAGATCGTTTTAGCAGGCGTAATTATTTAGTTGAATAAGCGCAAGGGTGCATGTAACCCTTGTACAACTTGTTTCTGCTGGCATCAGTGGTCAGTCTGAGAAGTGCAGAGATTTGCGCTAGTACAATACCTAATATTTATTAATACAACGATAAAGTGCCCGATAGTTGAGCTACTCTCGTAAATTAAAACATATCCGTTTTCTATTTAAGGAGTATAATCCTCCTTTATTGGGCTTAGGCTTTAGGAGAGAGTTATCTCCAAGTTGAATTTATTCTACTAAGACAAATCACCTCAGCTCAAATGAATCTTACCAGTATTGCTATAGTCACTGCACTCATCAGCATTGTCACTGCCTTGACGGATGGCCCCATTGCTGTATCGTATGCGCATATCCTCCATAGTGTCATTAACGGCACTCTACCAAGGTCGCTGAATGATGAAGGCACAATCACTGTCAATATTGTGGCAAACAAGAAACGAGAAGTCAATGATCCCTACTACTCTAACTTAAAATATTTATCGTTGGACAATTTTGCCAAAGTGAACACTTTGGCTAGTTTGTTACTGTCAGCAGTTGCTAACAGCGCCTGGGGTGATGTTCTCTACTTGTACAACTATGTCAGGTTCAATGGCTTTGATGACTACATGACTTTAACAGCCGATGGAAAGTTCGCTGATGAAGTTAACTTGTACTTGTTGTCGACACCTGACCAATCGGTATCATTGTTGAGTAATACCTCTACTAACAGCGTATTGAAAGATTACTACGCTAGTTTTGCTCCTAACCCAAGTTCAGTAATTCTGGTCGGAATGACTGAACTTGTTACCAACAGCTGTGAAACTATCTTAAGACAGATGTTTTATAGTTAGATTGTGAGGTGGAGACATGGAATATCTTAAGCGGAGCTCCATATACTTTTGACTGGGCCCAAGGAAGCTTGTGTCTTATTAAACTAGTCATATTTAATTTATATTGACGAATAATTACCATCATGACATTTGTGGTATATCTAGTACGTAATTGTGGATACTGTTAACCATCCAAAAGAAAGTACTTCTCATCAGTAAGGTATACACAAAGAGAGGTGGAGTCGAAGTTATATACTGAACGCCGGGAACTGTGGTATATCTAGTAGGTAATAGTGGATACTGTTAGCTAGCTAAAAGAGAATACTTTATATATGTTGTATATCTCTACCTCAAGGGTAGAATATCTACTTATAGTAATAAGTAATACTGGTTACCTATATAATGTATATAGGATAAAGGAGGGAGGGATCGACCTCCTTATATAGAATATTGATCCCTACCACGTGACAGCTACACGCTTACTACAATATGTAAGATATCTACAAGAAAAGGGTAGTCCGGGGCCTTATATACTGAGGCGGATACGATGCCAGGGTGTCCGCTTATCAGAGGTAAGGGAACAATGGACTCCGAATTCTGTCTAGTTAAATGGCACCTTTACTACAATGATCCTATTTCTTCAAGGATTGTCTTTCCACTGTCCCTCCAAGAATTTTATTCGATGATCCCCTGGGGATCAATGTCGGCATATGCCGACCTCCCTTCAACCTTACAGAGATTGAAGTTAGAGGATGTGTCGGACTTTTCTGTCAAAGCCCTCAATAAGCTAAAATTACCCAGTTTGAAAGATTTAGAATTGAGAGCCATTTCTAAAATAACAGAGATCAATGAGCACTTTAAATTTCCCCCGCTGTTGGGGAATTTAGAACTTGCGTGGTTGGAAACTACTAGCTTCGAACAACGGGAATTGCCTCTGGGATTGCAAAAGTTATCCATCACCATGTGTCCGTTGAAGAAGTTTCGTGTGGATACCTTTTCAAATTGCTTTAAGGAATTGGTATTACACGATACGGGGATTCCATCATCCGAAATCCACAAGCTCAAGCTTCCATCGAGCTTGGTTTCTTTACTGATTATTTGGGCCCAGTTAACATCGCTAGACTTTGTTAACTCATTACCAGGGTCTCTAAAATTGCTTAACCTCCGCAGCAAATCCCTTGGTTCTTTAAACCAAACAGACATAGACACTTCCAGGACATGTCAAATCAAGTTCCCAGAGAATCTCCTGATTCTTGATCTCCTGACCAACCGTTCGTTATTTATCCTGTACTCGCCAAGAAACCTTGTCTTTCCCCCAAATTTGGCTAGTTTGAAACTCGGGTGCACGAATTTGGTCTCAGTTGAAGGGCTCAATCTTCCACCGGGATTAACCTCCTTAGACTTGACACTCAATCGTCTAGAGCGGGCTTCCATAAAACTACCTGATAGTATCCAATCCTTGAACCTCGGGTCCAACCAATTAACAGAATTGGAGAATTTCCACCTTCCGGTAAATTGTACTGAATTTGACCTCTCAAAAAATCCACTTCAAAAGCTCCAAATCACTAATGCGTATGATCCGGATTTGAAACTCCGAAATCTTCATTTAA